TAATGCAGCTATTCATATGAAATACCTAACACCAATGATCTACTTTTCTTGGTTTATATGTACTCTTCATACACTAAACTTTGGTATTCTGATTCCTTTTAGCCATTTAAAAACCCTTTTCTTAATAGGTAGTTGAGACTTTAAAAAACAATCTTAGATTTAATGTCTGTGTATTACAGAGGAAGAAAACTGCCTTTTAATTGTTTATAGTGAATAAAGTTGTGTTTTTAAGAAAACCAAAAGTGATTAACTGTAGCCAAGCCGTATTCTGCACTGCTTAATTTTATGGGGGAAAATAATCTACCATAGAACTATTAGTTAATATTGATACAATTTTCATTGCTATATCATGATATAATTTATTTCTTGCTAGTTTGGAAAATGTACAGGTTTTTGGTTTGTTTGTGATCTCTCATTCTATGATTTATAACTAGCTATGTTATTTGTTTAGAGGTGTTGCCGCCACTCAGAAAAAATGCATAATAGACCTTAAAAATCAGACCGTGTAACCTAGGATAAGGAATATGAGACACTACAGTGTGGGTAATGAAATAGAAACATTTTTAGTGAGTTGTCCGCGACATTGCATTTCCAGGGCTTTTACAAAGAAAAAAGGGGATCTGAGTCGTTTGAACGTTCTGGTCACGTCATTCCCAGCTTCAGTCTACAGTTGTGACCTGGTACCACATAGGTGCCATACTGACGATGTGGTGCACTGAGCAGTCAGTTTTTCCTCTTCATTTCTGTCTTCTTTCTACAGATTCTGACTAGCAGCCCTAAAAATTACAAATTTTGAATGCTGTGAATGTTTCCTATTTTAAAGTCTTTAGAATTGGTTCTACTGTTTGTGTCTTACACTTGTGTGGATTAAGCTGATTGAAATGAGATTTTGATCCAAGTATTCAGAATAGGATACATAGTGATGGAAAATTGTATAGGTAGCAGGCTTCTCTTCTGTTGAAAAGAGGACAACATGGCAGTTGCTTTTCAGTCGTGCCTCTTCACCACAGGTGATGAGAATCAGAGAGTCTCATGCTGTGGAGACTTTAACACTTGACATCATAGGATAGTGACTGACTAGCGATTCTAGTTTTTTACCATTACTGACTAGAGAAGTTGACTCTTAAATTTAAGCCATTTTAAGATGTGCACGCGCACGCACACACACTTCTGCATGTAAGAGCAAAATGAGTTCAGGTTGTCTTGCTTACTAATTTCAGATGTCCCAGTGTAGAAGAAGTAAACCTGTTTTCCATCTCTTAGGGTCTTGACGACTAGACCACTACTCCTTAAACAAACTTTACAAACAGATTAAGAAGAGTTTAAGATTTTGGAGATTTATCCATTTGAGTTCTTGTATTGAAGTTGTCCTGCAGCTTTTTAAAATGTCTCATCTACTTAGCTGTGAATGTTTTAATCACCAATGTTAATGTGGTTACTCAGCATGGGCACATATTAAATGCCATATCTGGTTGCCATGGGCTCTTCAGATACTTTACACTGTAATTAAATGGAGTCAGGTATAGATTCTGCCAGGTTTGGCATAATAATGCCCTCACTTAATCTGTGCCTCTCAAAATGTCATGATAAAAATGATTACTATAAATCATTTTTAATGAAACCATGAGTCAAACATGAAATCAGCAGTTACCTAATGTCAGAAATAGTATGAATTTAGTTGCATTTCTTAATAGCTCACTAAATTTTGACAGCGATCTGTTCAACTGGTATGAATATATAAGAAAATACATATCCAACATAAATGCTGTGATATTGTTTTCCTCCTATGATGTATTTTGTAGCTTGTCTTTTTTTTCTGTAATCTTTATATAAGTTGTTGCAGGAGTTTGAATTTTCCAGATATTTTTTGTTTGGACATATGACTAAATACATATTTGAACATCATAATTGTATTATTTTTAAAGTAAATAATGGAAAGCAACTTTATACATGAGTTATTTCAATATGAAATATTGAATGAAGATATGTTTTAAGATATTGCTTTGCTAAAAATCTAAACATTCTTTTGTTCTATTAAAACTATAGTTTGTGGCTTACAACTTTTCCTTTGGGCTCAAATAATCACCTTTGAAAATAGTGGACTGAAGCAGTTTACTGAACGGTTTCATTTATGCCTATGCTATCCATCTTTTGTTTCAATTTCTTAAATGTATCATTTATAGTTAAGTAGGATAAAGCTATGAGTTTTGTTTTCAAAAATTAGGCAAATTAATATATAAATAATACAAAGGATTTTTGTTTACTTTTGAAAAATAATTTTCTCTAAAGATGGCACCACAGGATTGCATCAATCAGTTTCATGTAAAATAAAAAATTTTAAAAAATCAGCTAATTGACTTCACTTGTTTCTATCAGAATTTAATTCTTTCTAGAACTCCTTAGAAATACACAGCTCATAGTACTGTTTCAGACTGGACAGTGTTAATATGTTAAATGGTTTCAGAGAGGAAAGAAAGACAAAAGAGATTAGCCAGTGTGTAGCAACTGACCAGGTGTGGTGGCACACAGACCTTTGATCCCGGCACTCAGGAGACATGGGCAGGCAGATTTCTGAGTTTGGGGCCAGCCTGTCTACAGGGTGAGTTCCAGGACAGCCAGAGCTAAACAGAGAAACCATGTGTGCTTCAAAAAACGAAGACAAAGAACAAAAATAACACAGCTCATAGTATTGTTCTGCAATTGTTTTTGTTTCATAAAGGAGGAGGACATAGGAACTAACAAAAATATTATAAAGAAGGGTGCAACCACTGCTTTGTTTTTTTATCCTTAAAATTCTTAATGAAAATGTTCATGGAAGACATTGATACCATCAGTTGGTCTAATTTTTAAGTCAGCTAACTTAGATTGTTTAAAATTTAATAGCCTTAAGCTGGGTGGTGGTGGTTTGGGAGGCACAGGCAGGCAGATCTCTTGAGTTCAAGGCCAGCCTGGTCTACAGAATGAGTTCCAGAACAGGCTCCAAACCCTGTCCTGAGGGAAAAAGAAAAGAAAAGAAAAAAAAAAAACTTATAGTTGACTTGCCTTCACCCCACCCACACAGACTGACAAGACATCTGGTTCCTGGGCAGGTCTCCGCAAAGAGGAAACTTACAGTTTGTGCAAACTGGCATTTGTTGAATATTTACTCTGGATTGTGAAGGACTGAAAAGTCCTGTTTTTTATCCTTTTAAAAACTTAAGTTTGAGACTGGAGAGATGGCTCAGAGTTAAGTTAAGGGCACTGGCTGTACCTTCAGAGGCCCTGAGTTCAATTCCCAGCAACCACATGATGGCTAACAACCATCTACAATGAGATCTGGTGCCCTCTTCTGGCCTGCAGGCATACATGCAGACAGAATACTGTATATATAATAAATCTTTTTAAAAAAAAGTTTGTGTGTGTACGACCAATTTAACTTCTCCTTCAAACAGTACATGTATGTGTTGTGATGATCGATGCAACATTTGAAGCAATTTAAAAGAGTGGGAAAAGCTGAGTCGGTTTACCCTGGACGGTAATGACTTTTAGCTCATTGGCGCACTTGATGTGTCAAATGGGGAAGTAGGTGTTCGTTAAATCTGTCATTAGTTTGAATGTTTTGGAGGAGAGACAGGTGGAGCAGTATATATTGATTGAAGTTCTGTGGTTGCTAGAATGGTAAACCTTCCAGCTACCTGCATTCAGCATCTTCACCTTACAACAGGAACACATGGAAGAAGGTGAAGTTAGCCATAACAGATGGCACTGCTTTCCTTTTTATCATGTCCTTGATGAGCTAACCCTTCTGGCCTGACAAATGATCAGCCTCACAACTAACCAATTACAACAAAGACTGATAAAACTAAACCTTGCTGGTTGCTTCATTGAGGGAAAACTGGGGACATGCCTCTACAAAGGCTAATTTTCCACTAAGAACAAAAGCAGAGGGTTGCAACATTGTCCAAGTCACCACAATAGAGTTTGAGATCACACATCAGGGACTTAGAGATGCTGGCTTTACTGCTGCTTCTTCGCAAACAAACAAGGTTCTCTGAATTTCTGGGAATGGTCAGGAGAACCAGAGGAAGAATACTGACCCAACATTAATCTGGATGCATACAGTTAGATTGGTGATGTGATTATACATTGTACACAAGTGGTACACATAAGTAGTTTATAGTTTACCGGAGAAGAAAAGGGGCACTGATTCTGAGAGAAGAGGCAAGAAGAGCACAACACCCAGGCAACCCTGGAGAAGACAATGGCCAGAGAAAAACAGCGCCCTAAGGAGCGGCAGGGCAGCAGTCTGAGTAGGGACTATATACTGGCTCCCAAGGTTAGTGGTACACCCAGTTGGCTGCCTAGAGAGGAGAGTAACTCTGAGGTCTGCGCTGTGTGCCTCTGACAACAGGCTTCCAAACCCAATTTGCTATCCGTGGGCTCCCTGGATTTGGTTAAGTTCCTTTCCTCCATAAGCAAGTGGAAATTGTCAGCCAGGCATGGAGGCGCACACACTTTAATCCCAGCAGAGCCAGAATCCCTAAATTGAAGGCCAGTTTGGTCTGTGTTAAATCTCAAACCCTGGGACAAATGGCTGGGGTGCCTATTTAACATATCAAAACGAACCTGGCTGCCAGGTACTCGCAGCATCCCTCAGTACCTACCCTTCCCCCAGAGACTCTTTCCTATATAATCCAGATCTTTAGGTTACTCGCTCTTTTACCTTTTGCTGTCTCGGCTGCTGCACCTGGTGTGTGTCCTCCCCCCCCCCCCATAGTCCACTGTGGGCTCTTCCCAGATGTCCCTGTCTCTGACTATGCTCTCCCATATTTCTACAGTAAACTTTCCTCCAACGTACCTCAGAGCAGTCGCATCCGGTTTTGCTTTTTTTTTTTTTTTAATTTATCCTACTAATTGAGTTCCAGGACAGCCAGAACTGCTTAGTGAGACCCTGTCTCAAAATCACCAAAATGTCAGAAGAGAGAAGATCTAATTGAATTTTTGAGGTATGTCCAACATTGGAGCCTGAGGTAAAAATCGAGTATGGGGACTCTGGAAGGTTTGTAGTTTTACTAGATTCTTCTTGTTGGTTTGGTTGGGTTTTTGGTTGGTCTTGGGCCTTATTTGGACTGTAAGGAACAGATAGAAGCCGAATTCCTTTCCGGGCTTCTCCTAGCCTGGACTTTGGGACTTAATTTAAAAGGAGAAAAACAGAAATTCAAAAGGAAGAAAACAAAAACCAGGGAGCCAAGCCGGCATTTTTCTGGGTAGCAGTTCCCCAGGGCATTTCCCCTCCTCCGCCCTTGGCCATCTGCTTCCTCCTGGGGACTGTGCACCCCATCCTCCCTCCACTCGGTCGTTGGTGGCCCAGTCTGCCAGGACACCGGGAGGCCCGCAGAGCACGACCTTGAAGGCGAAGCCCATCGCCCCGAGGGCTCCACGACAAGCCCAGGTCTTCACTGGGTGTGGCGTGCCGAGTCGCAGCTGCTTCGGAACAAGGTCTCTGGCAGTCACGTCCTAACTTTCAGACCTCTGCGACAAGTCACCTGTCAATAAGGGCTTGCTCAGTGGGAGAAGAAAACTGAAGAGCCTCGTGGACGCGCAGCACTGTTTCCCAGGCAAGTTGCGGGCACCGGGAACGGGCGGCTGGGAGTAACGTGCTGCCCAGGTCGGTCCACAGTCTGCTGGGCAGGCCCGGTGCCTCCATCCGAGGGCTGCCCCTTTCTGGAGGGAAAACCCGCGCACCTATTTGCCAATCTTGGGTTTCGTTTTGACTAGGAAGGTTTTGTTTTAAGACATGTAGTGGAGGCTAGCCTCCACCCCTGTGTAGCCCATCAAATTTCTATCCTTCCTATCCCTCTGGAGTGCTGGCAACAGATTTTTGAAAGACTCCCAGGACCATGAGCAAATAGCCCAGCGGCTTATGTGACTTTTAAGAGCGTTGTGCCGGTTCAGCCAGCCACGCAGAGCCAATGCAGAAAGATTTGTGGGTGAGGCATTTTATTCTTCTGCTTTTCCAGGGCTAATTTGAATGGAAGTCATTTGAGCTGGTTTCAATGTTGCATTAGTTAGAACCACTCAAGTTCTGTAGAACAATAAACTTTTAAAAAGTATTTTAAAATATGATCCTTACTGACCTACCATTTTAGCAGTGTCATGGACATATTCGGAGTTAGCTCCATGGTCTATTGTTTCTACTACAGAACAGAAGAGCACGTAAAGAATCAGGAGTTATATTTGAGGCAAAGTCATTGTTACTATATGGGGCTTGAAGTACAAACCACGTTTCTTTTTTTTTTAAATATTTATTTATTATGTATACAATATTCTGTCTGTGTGTATGTATGTAATGGGGGCACCAGACCCCATTACAAATGGTTGTGAGCCACCATGCGGTTGCTGGGAATTGAACTCAGGACCTTTGGAAGAGCAGGCAGTGCTCTTAACCGCTGAGCCATCACTCCAGCCCCCTACAAACCACGTTCCTGTCGTACAATCACATCTCCTTTGCTCCTCATTGGTGGATTTTTTTTTTTTTAGTCATCAATTTAGCAAGTGTGTAATGTTGAATACCACCTTTAAATAATACCCCCCAGGCCAAATGTCCCCATATCCTGGCTCCCCTTTATAAGTAGCCTCTTTGGAAGGCTTGCCTCTGGGCCTGTGTTCCTACTTCTATTTTTTTTTTCTCCTCCTCCTTTTCCCCTTGCTGGCTCTGAGTGACATCAGGGACAGTCTTGTGAAAGCGGGTGTCTGTGCACAGTTCTCAGTTCTCGTCTCCCCTGACCAGTCAGTCGCCACTGTCATAGGCGTGCGCCTGTCTGCTTTCTTTCTTAGACTTGCAGCTTCTTGCTTTCTGCTGTGTTCCCACCCCACTGGTCACTGAGGCTTCTCAGTGACTAAAGAGTGTCCCAGAGCCCAGGTCTTGGCTATCTTTTTCTTATAGATATATTCTCCCCAAATGATTTCCACCGGGAACCATTAGTCCCTGACTATACGTAACATCTATACAATGATGGCTTACAAATTATAATCTCTAGCCTTACTTCTTCTCCAGTTCGCAAGCATATATCCAGCTCTTTATTGATGTGTCCAACTAGCAATCCAATAGATGTTTTAATTTTGTATATGTAGACAGAACTATTGATGTCACACACAACACTCTCAGCCTCTCATTTGCCTGCTTTTAGTGATCTTCCATATCTCAGTGAACACTGTTGCCGTCCATGCAGGTCACAATCCAGGAACTGTTATTTTCTGCCAGCCCTAGGGACTGAGCCTTGTGCTTGACTGGCAAGTGCTCCACCTCTGAGCTACGGCCCCAGCTCTAGGAATCATTCTGGCCTTTGGTTGGTTGGTTGGGTTTTGTTGTTGCTATTTGAGACAGGATCTTGCTATGTAGGCTGGGGCTGTCTTAGAACTCACAGTGTAGACCAGGCTGGCCTCAAACTCAGAGAGATCCATCTGTCTCTGTCTCCTGTATCCTGTGTGCTGGGACTGAAGGTGTGCATGAGCACCCCAGGCTTGCGGTCTTCATTTCAGCTGAGATTCAAGCCTCCAGCAAACTCCATGGTCTGCACCTGACTGCCTTCTCCCTCTCAAGCTAAGCCATAGGAGACATTTCTGCCCTGGCTTCTCTAGAGCCAGCCTCTAAAAAGCAGTGAATTTTTTTTTTTTTTTAATGTCAGAACTTTTACTCTCTTCAAAACCCTCTGGTAGCTTCTCATCAGAATGATTAGAAAGCAAAACAAATAAACAACTTTAACTGTGGCTTTAAAGGCCTGGGGTCCTACCCCTGACTCTCTGATGTCTTCTGCCTTCCCTCTCTGCCACAGTGACCGCTACTCCCTCCAACTCGACTCCTTCGGTCCCCTCCTTTTCCTTCTCACGTGCAGTCGAGCTCTGCCCTGATAAAACCAGACCCTCTGCCGCTGCCCTGCGAGTGGGGTGCTTGGCCTTTATCCGCTCAATCCAGGGGGTTCCTGAAAACCGTATGAAAAGTAAGGGTTTCTTCATGCACATACCTATAGGATGGCTTAATTTATCAATTAAGCATAGTTAGAAATTAGTAACTGATAAAATAGGACTGTGATGGCAGTATACTGTAATAAAATTGCCAAAATAAGGGTTACTTGGATACTCACCCTGTACTACTCTGACAGTTGTCTGATATTATAGATAGTGACTGCCGGACAAACAGAATATACAGCGTGGACATTCTACACAGTGACTGCAGGACAAACAGAATATACAGTGTGGATATTACCAGACAGAAGGATGACTCAGGTCCAGGTGGGAAACTACTTAGACTAGTAAGAAACTAAAACAAGAATTACACATTTCTGGACTTTTCCATTTAGTAGTTTTGGATTGTGGTTACACCAATGAAACTGAAACTGAAGGAAAGCAACCCCAAGTAAGCAGAGACTGCTGTGTCCTGTGAAACTGTGGTATCTATAAACCATCTGCCTGCTGCTGCTGTTAAAACTGTACAGCCATCTTTCTTTTTATTTTTATTGAGCTCTACATTTTTCTCTGCTCCCCTTCCTGCCTCTTCCCTCCCCTTTAACCCTCTCCCAAGGTCCCCATGCTCCCAGTTTACTCAGGAGATCTTGTCTTTTTCTACTTCCCATGCCGATTAGACCTATGTATGTCTCTCTTAGTGTCCTCATTGTTGTCTAGATTCTCTGGAATTGTGATTTGTAGGCTGGTTTTCTTTGCTTTATAGTGAGTATATGTGATAATTGCCTTTCTGGGTCTGGGTTACATCTTTCTTTTTTTTTAAGATTTGTTTTATTATGTATACGGTGTTCTGTTTGCATGTTTGCCTGCAGGCCAGAAGAGGGCACCAGATCTCATTACAGATGGTTATGAGTCACCATGTGGCTGCTGGGAATTGAACTCAGGACCTATAGAAGAGCAGACAATGCTCCTAACCTCTGAGCCATCTCTCCAGCCCTGCCATCTTTCTTTTGACTGTCATTTGGACATTCCATTGCCTTAAAATTAATTCTATTTTTAAAAGTAAATCATCTTTCCCCCTGTTTGGAGATTTGTCTTTCATACAAGTTCTCATTTTGTCTTCTGAATATAGAAAATTAAAGAAAAGAGCTGGACACGGTACCAGTCATCCATAACCCTAGAACTCTGAAATGTACCAAAAAGAATAGGCAATAATCTGGGAGGGGGTGAGGAGAAAGTCTAAAAGATTGGATTCCCAAAATCAGAAAAATAGATACGAGGATGAAAATCAATTTTTCGTTTTGTTTTTTGTACTTGGACAGAGGCATTTTTTGAATTATTTACTTATTTATTTTATACATATACATGTATATGTATATGTATGGGTGGGTAACCACTAGCTTTAAGGCTTCCTACAGACACACACACACACACACACACACACAAATATATACATATATATCAGTGTTCTGCCTGCATGTGTGCCTACATACTAGAAGAGGGCACCAGATCTCATTATAGATGGTTGTGAGTCACCATGTGGTTGCTGGGAACTGAACTCAGAACCTCTAGAAGAACAGCTAGTGCTCTTAACCTCTGAGCCATCTCTCCAACCTTGACAGAGGCAGTTTTTAAAGTAATTAAGCATTGGCTTTCTCTAGGGCCTCCTCTGAATGCTGTGGTAATGCTCAGATTCCGGTGACTGAGCAGTATTTATAGTTGTGGAGGGGACTGGAGAAGCTCTGGGAACTGGATTTGTTGTGGAGTTAGCAAATCCATGCTATTGCGAACTTTGCACATATATAAAAAGAAGATGGAATATAGTTAAATATAAAGGTGGCTTAACCCACGCTATATGGGCATTGAGTTAATGTGACCTGCATTTTAGAAGACAAAACAGAAAATATTTTTATATAGTAAGCCCCCTTTCTTCATATAGCATAATCCTTGTAAAATACATGTACTTATGTGTGTTTATGTATGTGAGAAATATTTATGTGTTTATACATATGTGTAAATATATATGAACAAAAATAGTTACATGTCCTTGTGTATATATAACATCCACAGATAATCAATACTAACTTTGGTGTAGTTTTTCCTGTCTATTTTATCTGTGTTTTGCATTACAAAGCTAGGGTCATCCTATATATACTATTTTGTATCAACTAATTATTACAGAAGGAGTTAATTTAATTCATAAACATTGTTAATAGGATTCTGCCATGGGAATAAATAACACTTTACATTGCCATTTGCCAGAGTGGGTTTTGAGGCAGTTTGAAGCTGCTTCCCAAGTCAGCAAGGACAAGAGTGCTGAGGTGACCAGGACATTACAGCAACTCAGGGGAACACTACTCAGTTCAACCCAGACATGGTATGCTTTCTGACAACATGGCCCTAAACAGTGTCTTGAAATAGAAAAGACTACTTCTGTAGACAGTGGGAGCATATGTTCTAAACACGCAAAACACAGGTAAGACACACGAGGGTGTGCTGGTTAGGTTTACTGGCAGCTTACGAAACTGTATAAATGAGGTGGGCCTGTTGGCTTGTCTACAGGGGACTGTCTTCATTGTAAATTGATGTTGGGAGACCCAGCCATTGTGAGTGGCACCGTCCCTTGGCTTTGGGCCCTGGGTCCTATAAAATTAAA